TGAACGAGGAACTCCACGCTGCGTCCATGCTAATTTTTTGTATGAACAACACCTCAACTTTTCGAATTATACTCTTTTCTGGAGTTAGTTGTTTGTAGCTTTCAGAGCCCGTGGACGCGAATTTGTATACGAGAGGGTATTTAACGTCATTGGCGCTCCAAACGTGTGGCTCAAAATACTCCAACGTACTTCACTTTAAGCACAATTGAAATATTCTCTCCAATGCATATATATATATATATATATATATATATATATATATATTATATATATATATATATATTCTAAATTTTCTCTCGCAGAATCACACAATGAACACGCACATTCCAAACGTAGTTCTCAATATCTACCCGCAAACTGCCGAACCCGAAACCGGGTTAACACCAGCGTTGGTTGCATAGCTCACCGTCGCATGACCAGGCTCCTCAGGGACGACGGCGGCACTCTTGAAACAGGGTGCTTTTTACGCACCGAGATATCTCTGTGAGTTGCAGCATAGATGTTGTCCATATCCTTGTGTTTGCTCATTTCATGTTTAAACAGTGTTGCATGGTGAACAATGCGGGAAAAACACAAATTGCTGTTATTTGTGCCAATCATCATTAGCATCCTTTGTTCACCACCCGGCGCCATTATCGCCATAGGTATATTGCCGCGGCCGACGCATAACGCGTTATGTAAATCAACAGTTACTATAATTCGGAACCGTTGATATGAATAACAAGAGAAAACACAAACAATATGGATGGGCATTGAGAGATGATGTTTATGGTGATTTTGTACGGCTGTTGAAATGAATGTGTTTCGAAAATATTTCGCAATTTTTAACGTAACGCAGATTTCTAGCATAGCGTAGCAGAGCTAGTTGAACAGAAACAGTTCATGAATACCATGCTTCTGGAATCAAATTGGGTTCACTGTGTGACGTGTTCTCCAGGGGCATTGCGGGCGGCGGTCATGTTCACTCTCATTTAGTGTTTTTTTTTTATCCTCCACAGATTGTCCCAAATTATTGACGCGTCATCTTCCCCAAATCCAGACCAAAATTATGAATCCATCTGGATTTTTTGGGTACCAAAACTGAAGATATTGGGGCTTGGGATCTTACTGCACTTCTTACTAATCTAGTCCCACGAAAGCCTTCCAAATAAAATGCATTTAAATCTTCATTCCGATTGAAGCAACTCGTTTGAGGGCCACTTCACTGGCAACATCAGCACAAAATTGGCAGGATGCTGGATATTCTGGTGTTTACCCTTGATAAATAGTAATTTTAAACACAGAATAGCGTTCCTATGGAAAGTTATTTGCGTGAAATATTTGAGGCGACGTATTGTTTAGGCTTCTTTGTTATGCAGTTGTTAAATACTTAACCCCACATTTTTCCTTTTGATAACGCAATGGCGATTGAAAAAAGACGAATGAAATCAAACCGGCGGGTCCTCAGACCTCATGGAACTCATCTGATCAACGCTACATCTGCATGAAGCTAGGGTAAAGCAATATTTTTTAAAGGAAATGACCCTGATACAAATGTTTTCAATTTGAAGTTTCCTAGAACGAGACGAAAGCCGAGATTTCAGCAGCGGCTCATCTGCCACAGTGATGAAGAACAATGCAAATATTATCATTTTGTCCCCGCTCTGTTCAGCTCCATAGTGCTATCACTGGGCTGGAGTGCTGCCGTGTTAATGCGGCAATCTGGTGCTAACCTACGATATGGCCCATGTTAAAGTCAAAACTTTGCGAAAACTTGCAGCATTAGGTGCAGATGGCGGGCAAAATGAGACACACCATATTGAACAGTAAATGCAAGAATATTTTACAACTTGATATATGAAATAAAGGCCTACAAGTCACCGTTTTTCGGTATGTGATGAGTTGAAAATTTCTGTGTTAAGTTGACAATCTCAAATATACCAGGCGGAAGTGGTAGAACGACGTTGAAATGCCTAACAACGATTAAATTGACGGTGTCTGGTATTTCGAGCTGTGCCGATCCTGAAAATCCTGATAACCGCCAATATGATCATTTTTTGGTATCATTACATCGCTTGGTCAAAACCTCCTGGCCTTTTGAAGGCCATTGTTTTCTACATATTTACTTAAGGCTGATGTCATGGTCATGGCGAGCCTTTATGCAGCACATTCCTTCAAACATTGGCGGCAGAACTCAGTGCATCCTTTGATGTTGTGCTGGATACTTACAATACACGTACAATAACTCCCGTGCATTTTATCTTCAAAAACGACCTCCAGAACTTCAAAAATTTCACGTTAGAAACGACACATTGTAATATGTCAAACTCATGAAAGAAGTGAAGAAGAAGCGCCACCGCTCATCACAACGGTGGCGCTTCTTCTCCGCAGGCACTGTTTTGCTTAGCCCAATCGTTACTGTTTTGCTGTTTGGTGGAGGGTGGATTTGGCAGCGGATTAGCACAATGGCCCATTTTTCCCGATCTACATCGCCACAGGCTGAGGTTTGATGTTTGGGCGATGAAAAGTATTACAGATACACTCTACTCACAAACCGACATATGCGCGGGGTAAAATTTCAAATTTTGGGGGAACACGTTGCCGTCCCGGGAAGCGCCACGCCTGTCGGTCGTGGCGGGCTGATCGGTGCCCACCGCTGCGACCACACCCGCCTTTTGTCGCAGCTTTGGGGAAGCTGCCTCTTCTCGCAGAGCTGTGGCAGCTGTCCCATGTCCTAAAGCTGTGGCAGCTGTCGTATGTTGCAGCACTGTGACTGCTGCCCCATGTTGTGACCGCCGCCTCGCGTTGCAGCGCTATGGCCGCCGCCTCGTGTCGCAGCGCTGTGACCGCCGCTTCGTGTCGCAACGCTGAGGCCGGCTCGCTTCGGTTGCCGCGCTGTGACCGTCACACCGTCTGTGTTTCAGCACTGCTGTCGGGCACACTGCGCACGTTCCAGGTGGCGTCCTGTGACGGCGACCAGCTGCGGCTCGAGTGTCCGGCCGGCACCACCGTCTCTATCCAGCTGGTGCAGTACGGCCGGCTGGCTGCGAAACCAGACCTCTGCGGTCAGGCCAGCGACATGCGTCGCTTTAACTACACCGACTGCATGGACAGGAGCGCCCTCAAGGTCAGCAGGCCATGGGAGCGACATGTACTGAGCGTCATACCTGGACACGGTCGATATTCATTCAGTGTGGTGCTCTGTGAAGCTGTGTTGTTCATTCTGGTTTCTGCACTTTTTGCGGCTGCCATCCTCTGCCTTCGCCGTGGCCAGGCGGGCAGCGTGTTGTCGTGCGTGCTGTCACGTTGTCGCGTGTGTTGTCACGTTGTCACGCGTTGTTTCCGACGTGCGCCTGACCGTCGGTAGGTGGTGATTGCTGCCTGCGCTGGCCGGCGCCAGTGTCAACTGCAAACCTCAGCCCAGCTGTTCGGCGTCGATCCGTGCCCAGGCATCAGCAAGTTCGTGGAAGTTCTCTTCAAATGTCGACCGAGTAAGCAGAGTGTCCCAGTAGCTTTGCCCGGAGTTTTTTTATTCGAACTGCTATTCTTGGCCCCAGCCACGCTCGGCATGCATGGCGGCAGTGCTCTGCACAGCGACTTCTCGAGTGATCGATGCTACTACTTTGAAGTAATTTCCCCGACGTGATTCTTTACAGGATGAGTTGTTCATAGGTCGGCACTTTCGCAATGTGTTATTTGTATGCATACTGCGGCCATTCGATCATTACGCAGGAAGTGTAACACGTCATGTCGCACTTGGTGCCCCGATCTTCCCCTTCGAACTCAACACCAAGTGAACCATAATACTGCATCGTCTAATCATACCAATCAGCTCGGTCATTGGAATAACAGCTCGCTCCACGTTTGCCAAAATGCAAGGCTACCAAAGCAGGCTATCACATCTACTGCGCTACATCCAACCCGATTCAGTTTACGCCAACGCTGCACTTTTCCGCATGATGAGCCTCAACGCCTTGGCATTGGTCACGCACGTTCAGAGGGCCCCGCTCGTCCATCTGCCGGTGCAGCTGAGCCTCTGGCACGGGCAGGTGGGCGGTCCAACTGGCCTGCGCGGTGACCCGTACCAGAGCCGATTTAATGCTCGCCCCTGAGGCTGATGAGTTTGGCGAATCCAAACGATCGCAGCGGTTCGGCCCCCTGCAAACCGGAGTATTGGATATGGCCTGTATGTGTCACCAGTCTTGGCCAAGTCGATGGGATTCGACCCAGCTACAGCTAGGCCCACCCGCAGAAATTCAAATCGCACTTGTTGGATTTTGCCCCAGAACATGTGTAATGAATATATATAGTAATAGGAACGTAGGCTAAAAAAGTGTATGATCAGCCAACGTTTACGTTTTGATGAAATGCTATAACCCGCACGGAAATTTCGAACTTTTGACTATATGCGGCGAAGCCTTAATCTTTTACGTGCATATTAGCATAGCAATGATGTACATGACTTTATATATAATGGGCGACATTTTTCATTTGTCATAGCATTGCCCGATGGCACGTCGTGCCCTCTGGGCGGGGTAATACGTCCCATCGTGCCCTCTGGGCGGGGTAATACGTCCCATCGTGCCCTCTGGGCGGGGTAATACGTCCCATCGTGCCCTCTGGGCGGGGTAATACGTCTCATCGTGCCCTCTGGGCGGGGTAATACGTCCCACGTGGGGTGGCGGGTAGGTTAGCATTTGTTATGTATGAAAAAATGCGTTGATCCATTTGTGTATTTCCAAAATCACTGAGAATAATCCGAATCACAGTCGTGATACACGTACTGACTATCGCCGTGTGTGATTGCTTCGTGCGCCCACATCGTGCAAGTGATGCTCTGTCCACTTCTCTTTGTGCAGGCTGTTGCTGTGTGGCTCCATGCATACCAAACACGTCATATCTTCATCACTATCATCTTCGAAAGACGGTTTTCTCTTCGTCTACTTTCGCTTCGCTTTTCGGTCCTGTAGCTTTGATTTCCCACCTAGCGGCTTGCTTCTCTTTTTCTGCTGCTCTTACTGGAACCGCTTCTTTTTGGGCGTCGATGTCAGTAGCATTGATCTTCTTCGCCTGCGACTGGCTGATCCATTCCGTCGTGGTGGAGCTCTTGGTATGGATGATATGATTTCCACTGTAATAAAAGGTGGCTGGTGCGTCTAGCACGGTCCCATCAGATCCTAACCCAGTCCGAAAAGGGCTCTGCCTTGTCTTGCGCCTTTGGCGCCCGCTCCATGCAAGGCGCCACCTGGTCCTGCACCGGAAGCGCCCGCTCCGTGCAGGAAGCCGCTCGGTCCGGCGCCGGGGGTATCCTGTAGCGGCCTGTCGGCCACATCTCCCGGTGAAAATGTGTACTCCGGGAAGACTTCTCTGTTGAAGGGGAGAGCCCAGTTGCTTTGAACGCAGCTGAATGCTGGACCCGGTGAAGGCATTGGCGTACGCGATATCAACGATTTGTGGGAGGTCAAAGATTGTCATCGTCCTTGCCCGAAGTTTGCCGCATCCATTCCGTCATCGCCTGTTGAAGGAGGTTTTCAGCGGACCGAAAACCGCTATGCACACAGACGCTGAAGGCGTTGAGAAGTGTGTGCGGGAAGCGTGAAAAGCGTGATCTCGTTGGCGCCAGCGAACTTGCTAGTCCAAAGTGGAACATGAGCGGCGTCGTTGTCCCAGACGGTGCGGACTTGATGCTCTGCAGAACTTCGAGTGTGTCTTTGAAAGTGATTGAGGTGCACGAGGGATATGTTCTCGTTTACCCATCTTGCCGTCGTCACACATCCTGTAGTGTCCGAAGGTGCTTTGCGAAGGAAACGGCCTTTGCAGTTCACTATAGGAAAGATGGTGAGTTGGGACACATAATTCCCCACGGCGTTTGCTGCACAAATACACGTGCACAACTCTCCTCTCTCCGGGGAAGCGAGAGCCCGTCTTGTTCCCTTTTTCGTTATCAATCTTTTCGGTGTCTGTACCGTGGTTACCCCCGTCTTATCAACGTTGTAGATGTTCTCAACGAGAATGGGTACTTCCTTAACATTCTCTCCAAGTTATCAAAAAATGAACTGCGCATGACAGATGAAACAGCATGGCTGCCGGTTTACATTCTAAGCTATGCCACGTGAAAGCTATGACGATTTTAGGAGCAGACGTGACCAAATAAGCGTAATTCAGTGAACAACCGTTATGTTTTATATCAGAGATAGCAAAAAAACCTCATGCATTTTCAAAAATATTTACATACAGAGTTAAAATCGCATTAAGGCTCAGAGAGCGCTCACCGCCCGCCCGCCGCCGTTCGCGTCTGTTCAGAGTGCGCTCACCGCCCGCCCGCCACCGTTCGCGTGTGCTCAGAGTGCGCTCACCGCCCGCCCGCCACCGTTCGCGTCTGTTCAGAGTGCGCTCACCGCCCGCCCGCCACCGTTCGCGTCTGTTCAGAGTGCGCTCACCGCCCGCCCGCCGCCGTTCGCGTCAAAACAAGGAAGGCCGAAATGCTTCTCAAACGTACCACCAGACAGCTGCTTGGAAACAGTGGGGTCTTGGAACGGGAGATACGTCGGATAGATCAACTCATCATCGTGCTCAAATAGCCTCAATTTGTCCTGTCCAGTTTACGCATTATTAGACAAAATCAAACACACGCGGGGAAATGTTTGAATGATGTTTAAACGGCAACAGCAGGTGCCCTTGTACAACGCAATTAGCGTGATCAGGGCTTTTACAAAGAGAGCTGTAAAATACTGCTCCACGAGAAAACTTCTACACCCAGAGTTTGTTAGGCTCAACCAGATTTTGGCCGACAGCAGATTTTTCAATGCAGAAATTGAACGACGAAATAAAAAGCATATAGAATGAGAAAACCAATTCCAACGAAGTGACCAAAACATGGTTACTCGCTTCTGTTGCAATCACATGTCATTATCTTACATTGGATGAATTCGTCATCGATGAAATAGTCCGAGACAATGTGACATGCACCAGCACAACAAATCATTTTCATCTCACCAGCTATTGCAGGGCAGAAAAACAAGCAACCCTGTGGGGGAATAGCATGACAACACTAAAAGGCGTTTTGAATTACGCCAGTGTGGTCTATGTGGTGGTCATTTATACAAAAACACGACAATGTAGGTATAACCTCAAGCAACCTCTCAGATGATGGGAGAAAGGTTGTCAAGGGGATAGCGAACGTTGGTAAGAAACAGACAAAAGTACAATATTTTGTCATCTGCACGTTGAGACATTGTGAGAGAACCTGTTGCTGTCATTCACGAAATTGGATATACATATATACGTACACATACGCGCGCGCACGCGCACCCACGCACGCACGCACATAAACATGCATTTATATACATGTATATATATATATATATATATATATATATATATATATATATGTATGCATATACATACAGGTATATTTTCATTTCCGTTCAAAAGATAGTGCCGGTGGAAGCCACTTCAGAAAGACTGGCATCTATGTGTGTAAAGATCCCTGATCTCAATGGCGAAGCACCACATTCGATTACACCCGGCGTTAGTTGGTGCGCATTCTTGGTTTGTCTAGTTTGGCCAGATCTTGCAGCATTTTAAATGTGGAAACGCGTTCAATGATGCCCACAACAGAAACCGTGAGCTGTTGGATCGACCCCAAGATAGGCAAATAACTCGCGGTTTCTTTGGATGTTTTGCCTTTGGAATAGACTTGTTGCATTGACGCCCATTCACGGTGTGAACGGTATTTTAACGCAGATTACTGAGTCGGAATTTCACCCATATTACGGCCGGCTATGCGCTGCCAGGAGCCGGAGCAGGGCCCCATCGGACCGCGAGTCGCGGTTAGACATTGTCCCTCCGTCACTGCCGCATCATGCAGGGGACTCCAAATTATCTCTGAAGAACTCTTCCCTACCTTTGCCAGGGGTCAGACAAATGTGATGCAGCGCCTTTACGGGAAACCAAATTGTGACGCAAAAACGCCGAGGTCATCTGGCTTGGGCATAACACGACCAAAGGCCGCCAGATTGATCACTGTCGAGGTCAGCTGGCTTGGGCATAACACGACCAAAGACCGCCAGACTGATCGCTGTCGAGGTCATCTGGCGTGGGCATAACACGACCAAAGACCACCAGCTTGATCACTGTCGAGGTCATCTGGCTTGGGCATAACATGACCAAAGACCGCCAGATTGATCACTGTCACAACGGTGGTCACAAGCTGTCCAGAAATCCCAAAGCCACTGTACCGCGGCATGCACTCCGCAGCACTGCCGCGGGCGTGCATATGCGCACGCATGTGCACGGGCATGGGTTAAACGTTTACAAATGTTGGATAGATGCTTCAAGAAACACTGAACTGTCATTTGCACTTCTTTTAGTCACAGCTCGTACATTTCTTCTGCAAATATCAACGTAAAACGTTAATATTGGATGCTGGCCCTTTTGAAGTCTCCCCATGATTTGGAACAAAGTGCTAGATAAAATATTGCAAGTGGTTGGGAAACGGGTCGATGTAAGTGATCAAGAGTAGGTAGCGGGTGCATGTGGCCACAGCCCCATGGAAGTGGGCGGATCAGGCAAAGAAAATCTCTCCCGTAATGAACTTTAACTTCGGTACAGGCATATACGTGTCGGTGAGATCAGACCACCATCTTTAACACCGCATTCATGCTCCGTGTTTAAAAGAGACACAAACACCGGTGATGCATTGTATCACTTATCACATCATCATTTTATGCTATATGCCGTACAATACATACGGTCGTAACATTATTTAGTAATGCTCGACCGCAAAAAGTGATCACATTTTGGACTGCAATCTATTGTGCACCAAAAGACAGAGAACTGGTCCGCAATGCTGTGCACAAAAACTGGGATTTGATTACGACCCATTTAATCAATATTTGTCAAATTTCTGTTCGTTTTCAGGCCGTGTATCCTCATGTTCCAATAGAAAATTAACGTAATTTGTAGATCCTCTTTACGAAACCCACCAGACAATATGGCCGAACATCAGGGTCTTTCATGAGAAAGGCAGCGACTAGCCCAGTGCGCCGCCGACAACATATGCTGTTTGTCGTCGCTTGTACCCCCCCCCCCCCCCTTCCCTCCCTCCAGGCCGGCGGCGCTGGTGCGCCGCTGACTTCAGCTCTGTCCTCTGGCTGGCAGCTCAGTTCCGGAGCCAGGTGGTGTGCCAGGGCCAGCGGCGCACCATCTACTGCGGCCAGGACCGCGTCGCCATCTACTCGGCCAGCTTCGGCACGCGCAAGGAGGGCAGCGTGCACTGTCCGCAGCCGCCTGGCGTACAGCTAACAGGTGCGTCTCCGCTGCCCGTTCCGGTGGCGCCCTCGCTCAAACGTCACGGCATGTTCGTAATGCGGCGGGTGCGGCCTGACAGGCGCAGCTCGCCATGCGTTGCCCAGTGGGAATGCGTTGCTAACCGCGCTTCACTTCCTGGACGGACCGGCCGACAACGCTCTCTCCCGAGGCTATGTTGTCAGGTGCTTGTCAGACTTTACTTTGTCAGATTGTCACGCATTTTCGTCAGTTGTGATTTGTCAGCTTCTTGAAGACGTGCTATGCTGTTGTCAGATTGTCAGGCGAGTTTTACCTCTGAGAAGATGATAAGCCTGTGCCAAGGAAAGCCGAGTTGCGATCTTGTTGCCGATCCGGAGCTGTACAGTCGGGCCTGTCCCCGTGATCACAAGATGTACCTCACCACCACGTACACATGCGGTAAGAAGCAGCAGCGAGGACTTTTCTGTTTTCGCTAGTCGTTTAAATGCAGCTTCAGGCATGGGCAGGCACTTTAAGCCTCAAGCAATCCTGAAAATCTCTGTGCGTGCGTGCGTCGTGCGTGCGTGCGTGCGTGCGTGCGTGTGCTATCCGCACATGGCATGGAACTATACGGAAAATCATGCTTACGTTTCGAAGCTGACTAGATTTATGAACTGCCGAGCGCTGGCAAATCAGAACGATTCGTCGTGAATGCAAACACGTCCTACCTTTCTTTAGAAATGTGCCTGTTCTCGGCTGTACCTGGTCCGCCACAACGCTTTCGCGGAAGCGACACAATAGATCCTAGTTTCCATTGGTTCTTTTACAAAAGCCAACGCATTGTCCCTGGTGTTTTTTCTGAAAATCAGGCTCCAGTGTCAGGCTCCTTTTTTTGTTGCCAACACTAAGCACCAGTTAAGGTTTCTACTTTTTTCGCGAACGCGATACCCTGGTCCCCGGTACTCAACGCTTTTTATAACACCAGATTTGAGTTCAAGGTGTCCATTGTCTTTCATTGTCCATTTGTCATTGATTTGAGTCCAAGGTGTACAACGCCCTACATTGGTGCATGGTTTTCATAGGCTCCTTTACTTGCACGTGGTTTTGGTTCGCTAACTATTTTGTCATTGATATTTTGCCATTATCGGGAGTGCCTCTGCCATGTGCAGTGCCGAGATTTGCACGTATCTGATGTTCCAGTACCGAAGGAAATCTTGCGAGAGCAATATGGCCAAGAAGTGGACGAGGACTATCAGCAGAATATGACGGAGGCGCCATCGCCCATTGACCGGCAGGCGTCGGCTGGGATGGATGCGCCGAACCTGTCACCTAGTGGCGATAGTAAGCACTACTGTTTTCCCAGATGTCGAGGACCCCATCTCAAACATCAGAAGCTATGTGTAGGCTTTTTTCAAGAGATGAAGGAGGGGGAGCCTCTGCTGCTTCCCCTGCTGCTTCCACTTTTCTCTACTCGGATCTAAGGTAGCCTAAGATATACGGATATATGAAGAGCGATATTGCAGGATCTAGTAGTGTGGGGAGCCCTCTGCCAGCATTAGCGCCAAGCACAGCAAGACATCCTGACTGAAAGTGGCATCTAACAACCGCTTTCAGGGGCATGCAGTAGCAGCATAGCATATAGCACTAGGAAAAATAGGCGATTAGAAAAAAGATTGAAAATTTGAGGCAGGTAACCAAGAATTGATTCTTTCGTTGGGCCAAATCTGTTGAGAGCGGTACTGGACATGCCACTCAGTTCCCTGTGTTCATGCTTGATCACACTGTCCAATCATTCAGCAATGAAAGCACGTAGACATGTCCCAAGACAGGTTGGCACAAATTACAGGGGGGGGGGGGGGAGGAAAATCCGCATTTTATGGGTTTGATCATTCGATACTCAATTAGACCATTCTGTACTATTTGCATTTGGGATTGTTCCTGCCCAACTGAGGTCATAGAACCAATGCGTGAAGAACGTTTCAGTAGGGTGGAAAAGAGGTGGCTCGGGCCCTGCGCAGTGAATCGGTTCCAGGTAGTTTTGACCGGCCACGTTACAATGAAAAATTTCAACGCGACCTTGGACAACTTGGTATTGGTCTTCAGTCGCGACAATGCGCGATTTAGTTTTGACTCAAGAGGTAAGCATGGAACTGCCGTTCATTAGCGCACTTGCGCTATTGTGGCTTCTCGGCACGGCACCATGCATCCATGAATGAACTGCAGCCCCGGATTGGGACCAATTGCAATTCGTGTGCAGCAGTCGACGGAATGTCACCGAAAATTGTTCAAATGATGTGACATGGACAAAATCTAAGTAGGTGTAGTGAGCTGCATAGACAATACGATGATTCATTAAACGTGCTTAGAGATGTCTGCGGAGCAATGCCATTTGCGCGCATTTTCATCCCTGGTCACTTAAACCAGGTTGCGCTCTGTGCACACGCGCCTCACCGGTATCAGCCGGCCGCAGACGATAGTGTGTTGGGCGACCGCTAGAGGCGCTTTAGTCACGGTGGCTCCTAGAAGCAATGCAGTCATATCGCCTTGAAAGCCATCCACGAAAGCAGGTGTGTGGCATGCTTATCGGTGCTCGCTGTTCTTCCTGCCTGTATTATGGACCGAGCGGTTGCAGGTGTTCCCAGAAAAGGACCCACCAAATGGCTGTACCGAACACGCATATAGGTCTCAGCCCTGGGTTTGCACTGGATCCGTTCCCCATAAATCAAATGCAAGCAGTAACAATGTTATGACCCCAGGTGTGCCCATTAATAACAGTAATATGGTGCCAGGTCATTAGTGAGGTGGTGAAAAAAATGCATTCTGCTGCCTTGGTTTGCGTTGTCCTAACGACCCGACAGCGGATCACGATCCGGCAGTTTTTATCGTGGTAGGTGCCCTGCTGGGCCTACACCACGTCGACCCGACAGCGGATCACGAGCCGCCAGTCTTTATCGTGGTAACAGTGCACCACGTGAAAAAAACGCGTATCGCTGTAAATAATGAGAAAGCGAATGCAAATAAAAAAAAACATGTGAATTTGGACGCGAGATTTCAAGAAACCGATATCCGGAGAAGGGAAGGGGCAACACAAGTAGAAATATATTACTTACATAAGCAACCTAGTATCAAGCTGCTTGACACCTCTCTATCGTGTCCACGTCAGATTCTACGGAGTCTGGCCTCACCCTTATGGACTTCCCAACCAAGCAAAGACCATCAGCTCAGAGTGATGCGGACATTGCTCTGTTTGGACATGGTGCCGATCATCGGAAACGTCCGGCTAACAGTGAGGCTATGCATGTGGGACAGGGATTATTCACGTTGTGCCTAGTCTGCTAACTCGGGGGGTAAGAAGCGTTGTATTCAGATCAATGTCCATCACCCAAGTCTCGATTTCAAACAATGGATCAATCAACTTCGTAAACGGTATTTACGTTGAAAGGTGCTCTTGCCAAGAACACCGAAAACATGCTATAATGTTGATATCTTTCCTTATCCGTTCGTGCGTATAAACCATCCCTGCTCATTCAAAAAATTGAATGAGGGATAATTTTAGAGCAATCATGGGCCCCCACCTTCTTCTTTCTATCAGGTAAACCTTTTGAGTCTTTCGAATCGAAATAATCCAGTGAATAAAACCGCGGAATCAGTACCCCGGAGGAAACATCATCCACAGTTCAAAGCTGACATTTGCTCCTGGCACATCATGTAATAGCTGCACCTGCACTGCATGTGTATCCAATTGTGCTCATTGGTTGTGTTGTTATTTGTGTGAGGATTAGGAGAGGCTGTTTGTAACTATTGAATATGTAATTGTATTCAGGCCTCGCCAAAAGAAAAACACAGGTAAAAAAGAAAGATCTAGTATGTAGGTTAGCCTTGTTTGCTTACTGCGCAATGGTGCGGTAATAAGCATAAGAAGGGAATATCATGATTGTCTGCGCTGTGAACCAACGTGTGTACTGACACTTTGTCACCGTTTTGCTTCCCTCAAGAATCAGCAACAATTGACGACGCTTTAGTGAAGAAATGGCCACTACGGGCGACAGCCATTATCTCGCGCGACTATTAAACACTGTTTTTGGGCGTTTTGTTGATTTGTGTGCAATGGCATGACCACCGATAGAAACGTCGAGCATGCTCATAATATGCTCATATCCTCGGTTAACCATGACCTCATGGCATATTGCAATTAATTTATTCCCAGCAGGAGAACATCTATATGATCACAACTTGTTGAACACGCCTCCCTAGTTTCCTTGCGGAGCCGGCAGTAAATTCTCTCGAGATTCTGACAACTTGGAATGTGTTTTAGATGAAGAAGAGAAGCCACCGATTTAAACAAATCTGAAACCGTCCATACAATACAGGCAGAAAACCTGAACAAATCTCACTCAGCCCCTTCGTAGGGATAGTGTCCAGACACGCCGTGCGCTACAATGCCTTCCTCGCATTTCTTTTGTTAAATTGTTTAAGGAAATCGCTTGTGCCAAGCACGCATGACCGTAAGGGCGAGTGGACACTGCGTTACAGCATAGCCGCCCCTGTTGGTGACCGCTGCTACTGCTGATTCGATGGATGTGCTGACGCTGCCGGCGTTTTGTGCCCGACAGATGGCCGGGAGCAGCTGATCTTGTACCTGACGCTGGGCGTGGCCTGTTCGCTGATGCTCTGCCTGGCGGTCGTGGTGGGCCGGATGTGCTGCCACCGCCGCCGCCGTCGGCGGGACAAGCACGCGCGCTCCGAGCCGCCGCCGCCGGCCGGCCTCACCACCACGCTCGGCCAGCTGGACGCTGACCTTGACCTGGGGTCGGCGTCGGTCAGCAGCGGCCGCCTCACGCCGCCGTACGCCGAGCAGGTCAGCTTCGGCGCGCCGCCGTCGGAGCGGAGCCGCTACGGCTCACCTTACCGAGACAGCCTCGGCAGCTGCCAGCTGGCCGGCAGGGAGCCCTCCTACGGCGGCAGCGTGCGCAGCTTCGAGCGCGCCAGCGGGCCGCGCGCCGTCGGCCGGACCCCGCCGAGCGTGTTTTACTGCAGCTAGTGCCGCGCCGCGACCCTCCGCCCGCGTGCGCTGGTGACTGCTGGGGCGATGGGGCCAGACAGCGCGGCCCGGCTGGTGGCGTGGGGCCGTCGCACCAGCTGCGGGGTCGCGGCTGCAAGCTTGTGACCGGTGCGCCGGTGCGTGGAGGTCAACTGGACGGGGGGAAGTGTGAAGCTCAAAGTTGGGCGGAGTTGCCGGTCTCAGTGAGCGCGCACGGGCCGCTGGCCCGACGACCGCCACTCCGAGCCCGGCGTCGTGCTGGCCTGTGACGTCACTGCTCTGCTCGCCGGAGCCGTGGCCGCCTTCCGTCCATAGCGCCATAGCCGTCCGGCCTGGTGTTGAGACTTGCGCCCTCGGCGGACCGGCAACCGGCAGCCAGCGCCGCTCCCGCGTGTGGACAGGAGGGGGAGGGGAGGGGGGGGGGGGGCGTAGCACAGGGCCGCCAGGTTTTGCCGACGGCTGTGCCCGTGGGAATTCAGGGGGGGGGAGGGGGGGGGCAGTGACGCCCGCCGACGAGCGAACAATGGAAATCAGTGAGAGCCCAGCCTCAGATGCAATGAGGAGCTACCTCGTACCGCACAGTTCCGGCTGCGTGCAGTGTTATTTGACTATTGCAAGCAGTGTTGCCAGCCTGTAGGTAGCCGAACTAACAGGCGCATTTATGTGCAAACTGATGGAGCGGGTACATACGCAACGCGTCGTCTGATGTGCCCTTGGAGCGGTTCGACGTTGACTATTACACTGACCCGTGATTAACGCGAGAGCCCTCTTGGACTGTATATAGGCCTAATTATGATCGAGAATTATCAGGGTAATAAATGATGGCGTTGAACGTGTAACGTGCGTGCGTGAACAACATGAACGTGCAATATGTATGCCATATCATAAACACGCCGCATGTTTAACATTTTATGCTGCCACCAGAAAATCCCTCGAATTATTTGTTGCTGACCCATATCAATTTCAGAAACTATAAACATGAGAGGCATCGCTACGTTGTCTCGTGTCCGACACCACTCAGTACGTGATCAGAGGTACGTCCTGGACCGTTCGGTGAACTTTTCCGTGGGGGCCGCTTTGAATGAGTGCATTGTCGGAAGCATTGCTGTCCTCCATCCTCAGCATCCCGCCAGCTGCTGCTCAGCGACGGGCGAAGCGAGATGAAGCGGAACAAAACGGCCCAGCAAACAGACCGGGCGGCCACAGAACGGCTTGCGGATAGGGCAATTTTTGTCCGTCAACTATGGTTCTACCGTCATCGAAAAACATCTTTTGGACACTGGCCGTAAACAGCGAGTCAGGAGATGACGTGACTATCGGCCATCTCTTCAAGTGAGACAGCGGTCTTCGATGCGCTTGCCGGCAGCGAATCACGGAGGGTGTCTGGATGTCCTCAGTAGCGATCCGCCGCCGTGCGTCGGGGGTTAGGTTCAGGCCCTGCCGACAGGACTGTGATCGATATCGTGGCACACGTCACTGTCGTCTCACACAAAGTGCGAAGACGAAATGAGCCAGAAAAAAATTTACCCAAGATCCGTCGTTTTACTTACGAAGTGCTGCGTGCAATAATCCCCAATGGGGCTTACCTGGTGCAGCTTCATGGGAGCCGTCTAGTGTCACTTCCCGCTTCACCATCATGGTTAGGTCGCGAGATAGCATGAGGGCTAAGGCCTTCATCTGGACAAGAGGGGAAAATCGTTGACACCGATGGAGACCGCCGAAGTTCTGGCTATGTCTAGTTCAGTCTCATCGGCTATCAGACGATATTTTAGCTAAAAAGTTCCGATTAAAGCCAAAAATGGTGAGGCAGTCACGGCGCGTGCCTGCATTTTCTCACAATTCAGATTAGCATTACACCTCGGTCTGCAGGAACGTAACGTGTTTAGTTTTTAAACTCGTTCCTCACGACTAAGCAAACACCACGGAAGGAGCGTGTTCTTCACAGAGGTCTGCTAGTTAAATAAACCCAGGTGACATGAAAACGAATGATGTGATCCCTTTGGGTTGCACGCTGTCACACACACGAACGACATGGAAAAACTGAAGTCAAAAAGGAGACATAACATCAAGTAAAGTGCATGCGAGACCTTTATATTCCGAAATAGCACAGTACCACGAGCAGGGAGCAAGTACTCATTTTGCTCTAGATATCAATAAGGCTCTCACACAGTTACTGCAAGACAAAGGCTATGTATGCACCTACACATCATGTCGCAAATGTGCAAGCAAAGCTGGGAACATGTCCATGCCTACAAAAAGCCCACTACATTATTGCTGGCTGATGATACGCGGCTTCCCTGAGTCTACAAATACGTGCACACTACCCTCAGGGATGACTACGGCTATTGCCATGGCTGATCGGGTTAACAACGAACGGCACGAAACGATCAGCACTTAGTCGCTACATAATACACAGTCGGTACACAATACCTGCAAATGTCCACTCCTGCTGGCCTTGCATGACGAAACCACGTTATCACAGGTACATACTTACGTGCGAAGCACTGACTCAAGCGGTCCAAGAACAGAGTCAGACTTTCCAAACAGGATGGTGGAGCAGGGAACTGCAAGACTCTTGTCGGGCGATGACCACGGACGAGATTGGAACGATTTACGTAATGGTCCTGCCACGTTGTACATAAATAGTGGTTTATGCAGTGGTCTTACAGTAATGGCCCTGCCATTCTGCCCACTGCCCATCACTTATTCCTGACTATGTTGACGCGCGTGACTGAGCGTCACCAGACGTTGATCTTGAGGATCTCCGGCTTCTGACGCTGCGTGTGCCGCGGCTGGCGCTCCGGCTGGCGCTCCGTCTGGCGCTCCGGCTGGCGCTCCGGCTGGCGCTCCGGCGACTGCGATTCCTCCACCTCGTCTAACACGGTACGGATGCGACTGTTGATGCTGCTGTTGTCGCGCGAGCCGCCGCTGGCCAGGCTGTGTCGGCGCCGGCGCCCACCTGGCCAGCTGGCGTCCAGCCGGATCGTCTCCACCGAGCAGCGGCGGCGGCAGAGCGGCGGCAGGCCCAGCGGGGCCCAGCCGCCGCCCGGCGCCTCCTGTCATGACGGCGGCCGCGGGGGCGGCGGGGGCGGCGGCGGCGGGCGGCCAGCGCCCATCTCGGTCTGAGTATCTGGCACCGCGCTGAGCGTCGCGGCGGGGCTGCCGGACATGGCCGCACTGCTGCCCGGCGACACGGACGTGCTCCAGACCCTGCGCCACAATATCATGTCAAAGGTCGGGCGGAGCATTAGCAGGTCAGCAGGTCAGCATGTCAGCTGGTCAGCGGATCAGCAGGTCAACGGGTCAGAGGTAAGCGGGTAAGTGAGTCAGGGGGTCAGCAGATACCAGCGTAAACATCACGCATAACGCACGCAATATAAAGCGCGAATTGAAATAATGTTAATGGCACACGTCTTGACCTCACAGCCCCATGTCGCGCATGTTCCGGATCGCGTTCTCCAGGCTGCCTGTTCGGGTCTGAAAGAGCTTTGCGCTCGTATCGGTGGCGGCCAGTGCACGTACGTGGTCGGAAGCACGTTAATCTCGATTAATTTCTGACAGGATCTAGGGCAACCTTCCACGCATCGCCTGTTTATTATGAACCCCATGAAAAACAACCCAAGAGAAAAGGAAGTTCGGTGTCACACCAACCGCGGATGCAGGGTCTCGCATGGGAGAACAAATAACGTGTTGATGGATGCATTCACGAGTAAGCTTTGTATTTCTCCTTATTCACAAAGTGGTGCCGCCATATTGCCGCCAGAACAATGACAGATTTCTTTGTGGCTCCGCGCAAAAGGCAACAGCTGACACCTGGTCGCCACACGGGCGACTGTAATGTCCACTATGAGCTGACCTTACCACTGTGCTGAAATGCTGCCTGCACTTATTTTGGCATTGTGTGTGTGTGTGTGTGTGTGTGTGTGTGTGTGTGTGTGTGTGTGTGTGTGTGTGTGTGTGTGTGTGTGTGTGTGTGTGTGTGTGTGTGTGTGTGTGTGTGTGTGTGTGTGTGTGTGTGTGTGTGTGTGTGTGTGTGTTTGCTTTTGCTTCCCAAATTGTTGCCAACAATGTTACAATGATGCAGTTGCTGCGATAGTGGTGGCTTCATTGTAATTTGGAAGTACATATTTCAGCGCATGCCCACAGGACTGTTTCCCTGTTCCACTCCATTGAATTGCTGGGGTTGGAGCCAAACGAGATCCAATATGTGACTAGTAATGCCATGCCACGCAAATACTTGCTTGTGGGCATGGTAGCTTTTATAAGAAGGCTGTGCAAAACAAGGCAGCGCACAATATTCTTTACTGCTAGGAAACGAGGTTCGAGACAAAATTGTAATCTTCGTTTTCAGAGCGGAACTGGATGGAGCAGTCTTGCCCCTAGGCGATTTCATGCGCTGCACGCGTGACGGAGCCGACAGGGGCGGGACGCATGCTGGATCGCGCTGCAAAACACGCTCAATAACACCCCTGGACATGCTTGACTTCACACGTCGCTCCAAGGTCGTCGAAGGGGTATAAAACTTGCCTCGGTGCTCTTGTGTTGCTTTAGTCTGTGTTCCGATGAAATGCACCAGTTTTGCCTTCTCTTCCTGATCATGATAAATCGCTGTTTATGACTGTGTAGCCATTTTCAGACAAGCCCGCACGCAGTTGCGCGCACGTCATTGCCAATCAGAAAGCGGAACGCATGCTCCACGCAATAGAGGGTAAATTTTTAAATATTGCACGGCTATCCCGAACAAGCTCTATTGTTCTGATCAATAGATATCAGATTGAAAATGGAATGTCTTGTTAGGCTGAGAATGAGCAGTTTGAAATGGATCACTTAACGGCCTACAACCTGTCCATAGCAGTCAACCAACGAAATAGAGCCAGTTCTACGGACCATCAGCTTTATGGAGGCGGATGCACCGAATCAACCTCTCAAAAATAGCCTCCATTGGGACATTAAGTCATGCACGGTCTTTTGACCGCTGACTATTTTTTGCTTGCATACTTGTGGCTAGTGCGTGATGACTTCCATTTACAAATGTGCTGCAACTTGAAGCTTTCAGACATAATTCTTTAAAGAGACTGTTCAACATTTGCATAGGGTTTTTAAATGGGATATCCATTTTCAACATCGTTCAGTGTAGTTGACCGCTATGCCCCTTGTTAAACGTGAAATCACCTCGCTTCTGGGCCAGGCGCACGCGACCTTATGCAGACTATTTCGGGCCACCTGATTTGAAGTTACCCAGAGATAAGACGTCATGAAAACTTAATACGAGTTCCGCTTACTCAATCACCATAATTATTCAAGGTAAACCAATATGGCTCTTGGCTTACTCGTGTCTGAACTACGCCCGGGCTCCGGACGCGGGCCCCATCAGAGGCTACTTCCTCCCACTCGTGGCTGGCACATGCAGTCCGCCCTGGCCAAGCGGGGCGTGGGAGGGCGCAGGGTAAAGCACGCAAGAGGATAAAAGGGCGGATGCTCGATCACGAACAGCTTTTGTAATGCATGACATTTGGGCAGTTCCACTAGTTGTGACTGACACGAGGTTGGGAATCGAATAACTTAAGAATGACGCTCCACCGAAAATCCAGATGCAAGCGAGACATGTCATCACGGAAAACAGATACAAAAACAGCACGAGAAAGGACCGAAACACGCTCACTAACAATGGCCGGCTTTTCACACGCATAGATTAACAAGCCACCTTCCCGTGAGCTTATTTTCTGAAGTTAGTCAGCTTGGTCGCTACCTTGGCAATTCCGACACAGCCAGTCTCGCGGCGACTCTGGTGGTATACAAACGTTCCATGACGAACTCAAACAGTGAGGCAGGTATTTAGGAGCATGTTTACTAGACAGTGACATTGTCTTATCCCGAGCAGCATTTTGCACTTAACAGCATACCAATAGTTACAACTGAGCCTTTTCAACGTTGTTGTTACTTGCATCAATATCTTGCAATGTAGAACATTTCCTTTAATGCAGTTTTTCGAGGTCTCGACCACGTTTTATTGATTCTCTAACACCCTACCATTTACCCTTCTACCTGTTTTGTATTCGAACAACCACACGGCATACACGCCGTCCTGGATCACGACAACGCCTCCTGCCGTCGCGGGCGCCGCCTCTCGAGCCACCGCGGCAACCACCGCGGAGCGGCACTCGCCGTCCGCCGGCCAGGCGAGCGCGCGAGCCGGCCAGCTGGAGACTCCGCCAGGCGGCAGGGCGGGAGTCATCCACACCCCCCAGCCGGCAGCCCGGTCTCACAGCTCCCTCTGAAGGGCCGAGCTGGACGGCCACGGCGAAGAATCGACACCGGTAACGACGGCATGCGGGACGATGGCAAACACACACTCACTAACCCACTTCTTCATGCGCATACGCAATCGAACACCAATGGTGAGGTGCCCGGTACACGCTGACTGCCCCATCCACACGATATCAGTGCCCCTCCGCTAACGCGATGCTCAATCAGGTGAGTGCACAGCCAGTCTCTCCAAGATCACAGGCCACGTCGTAAAAGCGTGGATTGTGTTGGTGCTCACAGCCACATGTCTCTCTACATCGGAGTACCTTTGAATAAACCCAAAGAAGCCTCGGCTATATGGCTCACAAGACCTATTGCGGCACTGCCCCTGTGTATGTACTGCTTGCCTGCGCCTGCGCCTGTGTATGTACTGCCTGTATATGTACTGCTTACCCAAGAGCAAACACAGTCGAATAGCGAACACAGTAAGTGCTTCGACTGGTTCAACAGGATGATGAAGACCAGTGAGAACATTATATATGGTTAGTTGTCTGCAGAGTCGCAATCGCGTGCTCAGGTCAGTCCAGAAGTTAGCAACCCAGGGCCAGAACACGGGTGGTATATCTTCGCCATGACTCTGGCAGCGCGGACACTGATTCGTCTCTTTGATCCTATAAAGGTCCCTAGGTGGGATCCTAAAGGATCCCATGCGGGTCGTCGGTAGGATCCTGTGGATGTTTCTAAACTGCAGCTACCTTAGTTTAAAGTCATCTGTCGTGTCATACAATACTCTGTGCATTTTTGTCCATTGTTTTTGCCCCAGAAGTACAAGCCTAAGTTCCCATTTCGTCTGAGCATTATCTGAGAGGGAAACATGAGCCGACGATAACAGCGCACTACATCCCCACTCCCCTGTTCCTACGCACTTGCTTATTTGCTCGTAAGCGCTTAGGACTGCACTGGCGGCCTTTCCTGAGCAAGCACTTCCTTCCACGAACGGGGTATACCGCCGTGTTAAAAATGCCCCTATCCGAATTGTATTTGCAATTGGTGTGCGTTAAGGAGGATTTGGTCCTGGTGATTGTAAAGGTCGTTTACTTGGAACAACTGAGCACTGAATCAATTGCTGCTTGTTCAATGATGCATGGCTGTCATGAGTGCACGATCCAGATCCAAACATTGAATACTTCCGACCAAAACTTACAGCCATCTAGAAGATTGAAAATTTATCGTTTAGTGCAGTTAGGATATAGTTACCAAGATCATGCACTTGTGAATCAAATTGATTTTATTAAAAAAATGCATTAGTCATATTTTACACCGATGCCACCGAATATCCTTCTTTTGTTCCCAAACGTCTCTGAAAGAGATCGTGGGAGGTATGATTAAAATGACTCACTGACGAATTTAGTGTTGTGTTGTCGGAAGCCCCATGCCTTCCAACTCACCCAACAGTGAGGTGGGGGTGCGCTGGAGTCGCTTCAAAGCGCCCCTACAAGCGCTTACTTTGGTCCCTAACTGGGATGGTCTGCGGCCGGCGGACTGGTTTGCGCTAGGGGTTATATGACGTCAGAGGGCGGGGCGAGCCGAGACGTGCCGCGTCGAGCAATGTGTGACGTCAAGCTCTCCCCACAAAATATGGCCGCCCACTTGGGATCTCACGGTCGAGCGCTGGGGCCATAGCTTACGTAGCTCCCAGTGCATAGGGTGGGCTCCGATGTCAGTGATCCGTACAATTAAAAGGACTAAAGCAAGTTTTTTAAGCAAAACAAAAGTCACAGCAATACTTTGTTAACTTTGCAGCACAGCTTCTTTTCTAAGACACTAATAAGGTCACTAATATATCATATAACACTAATAAAATTATTTTAAAATCCGTTAAAATCGCACAGCTAAACGTGTTCTGTCACTTCCCTGTCACTAGCGTGCTGTCACTAACGTAACGCAAATTTCGTATATATTGA